CGCCTCTTCTTCCTCCTCGTCTGACCCCGCCCCCTCCGCCGAGGCCACGCCCCCCTCGCCCCCCGCGCGCTGAACCATTCCAAGGCCACGCCCCCTTTTCCCCCCCGTTTTTTGGCTCCTCCCCTTTTTTTGTCCCCTCCCCCAGAAGGGGGGGAGGGGCCGGGTGGGGGTCACGTGACCGGGATCTTTTAACAATGGGAAATGTTTGGAGCCCCGCCCCTCGTTTGTGTCGCGGTCCGTGATTGGTTGGAATTGGTGGGAGGGTGGGGAGGGACACGCCCCTTTCTTAAAGGGTACGCGGGGAGGGGACGGGGGACAGCCCAGAGGTGGCACTGGGGGACACTGGAGGGATACTGGGGGATACTGGGGACACCCAGAGGTGGCACTGGGGGATACTGGGGACACTCAGGGGGAACACTGGGGACACTGGGACATTCTGGGGACACCCCAGAGGTGGCACTGGGGGATACTGGGGACACTGGAGCATACTGGGGACACCCCAGAGGTGGCACTGGGACACTGAGGGACACTCTGGGGACACTGGAACACACTGGGGACACCACAGAGGTGGCACTGGGACAGCACAGAGGTGGCACGGGGACACTGGGACACTTTGGGGACATCCCGGGGGTGGCACTGGGACACTCTGGGGACACTGGGACACCCTGGGGACATCCCGGGGGTGGCACTGGGACACACTGGAGTCACTGGGACACTCTGGGGACACATGGAAGGGGGCGGGGCCACAAAACCCAATTGACCAATGAGGAGCGGCCGTGGCGCGGTGGGCGTGGCCAGCCGGACCGAACCATTCGCAGCACGATGGGGGGGAAGGGGGCGGCCCTAAGCAATGACAGCGCCCGCCCCGCCTTCCTCATCCCTCATTGGCCAGCGCGTAATCTCGCCGGCGCGGATTGGCTGGAGGAGTCTCGCGGGAGTTCAGCCCCTGCTGCTTGCGCGGTCGAACCCGCGCTCGGCCTCTTCCGGCGGCGGCGGCAGAAGCGGCGAGGTCGGGACGGGAGCGGGAACCGGGAGGGGGGGAAAAAAAAATGGGGAAAAACGAGGGGAAAATGGGAAAAAAATGGGGAAAAATCCACCGGGCTGACCCCGGCGCGTGTCCCCGCAGATGCCCGGTGTGACGGTGAAGGACGTGAACCAGCAGGAGTTCGTGCGGGCCCTCGCCGCCTTCCTCAAGAAGTGAGGGGGAAACCGGGCCGGGACCGGGGGAGGGTCCGGCGGGGCCGGGGCGGTACCGGAGGGGCCGCGGACGGAGATCCCGAGGGTCGCGGGGCGCTCTGGGTGGGGCGCGTGGTTCTGGTTCCATTCCCGGTTCCGGTTCCATTCCCGGTTCTGGCGCCATTCCCGGTGCCGGTTCCGGGTCCATTTCCGGTTCCGTTCGTGCAGGTCGGGGAAGCTGAAGGTGCCCGAATGGGCGGACACGGTGAAGTTGGCCAAGCACAAGGAGCTGGCGCCCTATGACGAGAACTGGTTTTACACCAGGGCAGGTGAGACCCGAACCGGTCCCAGTTACCCCTGGACTGGTCCCAGTTACCCCAGGGCTGGTCCCAGTTACCCCAGGGATGGTCCCAGTTACCCCAGGACTGGTCCCAGTTACCCCAGGACTGGTCCCAGTTACCCCAGGGCTGGTCCCAGTTACCCCAGAACTGGTCCCAGTTACCCCGGGTTTATCCCTGACCCCATCCCCTGTTAATCCCGGCTTTAACCCAGGTTTAACCCAAGTTTAACCCCATTAAACCCGGGTCTAACCCCATTAATCCCGGGTTTATTTTCACTCTCTCAGCCTCCACAGCCCGTCACCTGTACCTGCGGGGCGGGGCAGGTGTGGGCTCCATGGCCAAGGTGTACGGGGGCCGGGTTTACCCCAAGTTTAACCCCATTAAACCCAGGTTTAACCCCATTAATCCCGGGTTTATTTTCACTCCCGCAGCCTCCACAGCCCGTCACCTGTACCTGCGGGGCGGGGCAGGTGTGGGCTCCATGGCCAAGGTGTACGGGGGCCGGCAGCGCCGCGGGGTCCGGCCCAGCCATTTCAGCCGCGGCTCCGGCGCCGTCGCTCGCCGGGTCCTGCAGGCGCTCGAGGCCCTCAAGGTGGTGGAGAAGGATCAGGACGGGTCAGTTTTGGGGTGGGAAAGGGAGATTTTGGGGTTGGGAGGGGAGGAAGTGGGGTTGAAAGGGGAAAAAATGGGGTTAAAAGGGAAAAAAAAGGGGTTGGAAGCAGAAAAAATGGGGTTGGAAGCAGAAAAAATGGGGTTGGAAGAGAAAAAAATGGGGTTAAAAGGGAAAAAAATGGGGTTGAAGGAAAAAAAATGGGGTTAAAAGGGAAAGAAATGGGGTTGGAAGGAAAGAAATGGGGTTAAAAGGGAAAAAATGGGGTTAAAAGGGGAAGAAATGGGGTTAAAAGCAAAAAAAATGGGGTTGGAAGTAAAAACATGGGGTTGGGAGGGGAAGAATGGGGTTGGAAGCAAAAAATTCGTGGCTAAAATAAAAAAATTTGGGGTTGAAAGCAAAGAATTTAAGGCTAAAAGCCAAGAATGTGATTGAAAGCAAAGAATTTGGGATTAAAAGCAAAAAAATCGAGGTTAAAAGCAAAATATTCGGGGTTGAAAGCAAAAAATTTGGGGTTCAAAGCAAAAAGTTTGGGGTTAAAATTTGGTTTAAAATGTCAAATTTTGGGATGAAAAACGAGAAATTTGATTTTTTTCCAGTTTTACCCCCTTTTCAATTACTCCTGTTCATTTAATTGCTTCATTTCCCTGATTTTTAATTCTCTTTCCATCCAATTTTTCTCCCTTCTCTCATTTTTTTTTCTTCGTTATTCCCCATTTCTCCCTTTTCCAATGCTCATTTTTAACCATTTTTATCATTTTTTATCCCATTTTTACCCTTTTAATCCCATTTTTATCCCATTTTTACCATTTTTATCCCATTTTTAATCCCATTTTTACCTTTTTTATTCAATTTTTACCATTTTTTATCCCATTTTTTATCCCATTTTTACCATTTTTATCCCATTTTTACCATTTTTATCCCATTTTTTATCCCATTTTACCATTTTTTTTTACCATTTTAACCCCATTTTTAATCCCATTTTTATCCCTTTTTAACCCCATTTTTACCTTTTTTATTCCATTTTTACCCTTTTTAATCCCATTTTTTATCCCATTTTTACCCTTTTTAATCCCATTTTTACCCTTTTTAATCCCATTTTTTATCCCATTTTTTATCCCATTTTTTAACCATTTTTATCCCATTTTAATCCCATTTTTACCATTTTTAATGCCATTTTTACCCTTTTTTACCCCATTTTTACCATTTTTAATCCCATTTTTATCATTTTTTTCCCTCCCAGGGGCCGAAAATTGACTCCTCAGGGGCAGAGGGACCTGGATCGAATCGCTGGCCAGGTGAGTTTTTTTGGTTTTTTGGTTTTTTTGGGACATTCCCCAAAATTTTCAACCTCAAATTTAGCTAAAATTTAAAAATTTTAACCAATTTTTCTTTTTTTTTTTTTATTCCCCTTCCAGGTGGCTGCTGCCAGCAAGAAACACTGAGGGAACAAATAAATAATTTTCCTCCTTATTTCAAGTGTGGTTTTTAATTAAAAATTACCTAAAATCGAGGAAAAAAAAAAAAAACCAACAAAATAATCTAAGAAGAGAATTTTGGAAAAGTGGGAAAGTCCCCCAAAGCAAGAGGAGAAATTTTTAATTAGTAATTAATTAATTACTTGCTATTAAAATCGAGATGGAAATGGAAATTTCCACTGAAAAATGTTGGTCAGGGGGGGGTCCCAAAATAAAGAAAAAAAATCATTTTGGGCCCAAAATTTTAATTTTTAGCAGCAAGTCGTGGGTTTTGGGGGTGAAGGGTTGAAATCAAAATTTGGAAAAGGGAAATTGGGGTTTTTTTTAAACAGTTTTGTGTTTTACATGAGGTTTTTTTTGGGTTTTTTTTTTGGGTCTAAACCACCAAAAATTGGTGTTTTTGCCACTTACCCTCATTCCGTCCTGGGAGACTCCAGAATTGGGAAAAATTAATCAATTCCCCTTTTTTTTCCT